TGCCTCCTGAAACCTCACCCTCTCTAGGCTCCATCCCTTATCTCTCCAGGAATTTCCCACCTGGAGCTGGCAACCCTATCTCCTTCCCAGCCAATCATCAACCTACCTTTATTTCCCCCTCACTCTTCAGCTTTCCACCCCCCACACACCTGCAGCCTCTCCCGTGCTCTGAAGCCCTGACTGCTACATCACATTGTCTGTCATACGGGGGTCACCTCAGCAGCATATAAGGATACAGAGCCCACCATTTTCTCCAGGGAAACTGTTCGCTGCCATCTGGAAAGCAGTTGTGATTCTGAGTGATCTCCAGCCCTCACCTGGAGATTGGACACAGTTTACCTCAGAAAAGCAAACTGTTTAGAATGATAGAGGCAAAAGCCAATCAAGTCGCATATGCAAACGACCTCTGTGTTCCGAGGCAAAGGCCAATGAGGCTGCATATGCAAATAATCTATGTGTTCTGACTGGCTATGGGGGGGGGGAGAGGAACAGCAAACTGTTTAGAATGTTGGGGGCGAGACTCAAGCAATGCAGACAGTGGATAGGGACAGATTCTGAGTGACACACCAGGGCGCCAACCAATTCTGGAGCGTGTGGAATGTTCTAGAGAAGTGCCATCAACATTCGGCTTTTATATATAAGGGAGTTACTTATTTATTGGTTGTTTTAGCTTAGTTTTAAATTGAGATTTTGTTTACTGTTTTGTTGTAAGCTGCCCTGAGCCCTTCCTGTAGGGAAGGGCGGCCTAGCAAATCTATTTCAATAAATAAATAATAGATAAATCTTCACTTCATAACTGACCAATGGTCAACTCTGTATGTTCCAAAATGTCTACCCCTTTTCCTTCTCCTAGGCTGACAGTGGAAGAACAATCAACAACAATCCCATCTACTCCAACTTTGATTGGTGGTTAGAAGAGAGAATCTAGGAGACCAGTCCTAAGCAGACTCAAGTCTACTCAGTGGGGTTTTATCCTAGGAATGTTTCCTCAGGTTTCCACTGTAACAGTCCTTCCTTCCTTCCTTCTGGTCATGTCAGGGACACATGAAGCTGCCTTGTACTGAGACAGCCCATTGGTCCATGAAGGTCAGTATTCCCTACTCAGACTGGCGGCAGCTCCCCAAGGTCTCAGGCTGAGGTCTTTCACATCACCTACTGCCTGGCCCTTAAGATGCCGGGAATTGAACCTGGGACCTTCTGCATGCCAAGCAGGTGCTCTGCCACTGAACCATGGCCCGTCCCTCCATCTGGTTTGATAAAATGTGTACAAATAGCTAGATAATATACATGGGCCCCGGTCACATGGAGAATTAGCCACGCAAAAGGCATGAATGTCGGGTGGATTTTGGGGGCACGATCACACTGCAACATCTGGGAAGTGTAGTGCACCCGTAGCCAACCTGTGGCGTCCCGCCGAAGATGTGGAATTAAAAAGTATGAAGGAAAGTGCACTAGTATCTGGAAAACGTGCGGCACAGGTGGGCATCTGATCGTGGGAGCGCTAGTGTCCCGTGGCATCCGGCGCCTATCCACGTCCTGTCACAAACCAGAGGTTTTTCATAAGCACATGCGCACAAACACAAAACTGAAAGCAGTGCTGCTCCGCAGAACTGCGCATGCGCACAAACACGAAATGCTTGTGTGATCACGCCGCGCCACGCCACTTATTTGCCACACTGCAGCATTGCTGTGTGATCGCCAGCTAACAGCCCAAGTGCGGAGACTCAGGGGACCGTGTGATCAGGCTACTGCACTTTATTTTGCTCTGGGGCGAACAGCCACACACACACACACCCGCGTTATCTGGCCCGTGTGACCGGGGCCATGACAAACTATTTACTACGACCTGACGTGGTGGAAAGCGCGGTCAAATCTCAGATGACTTATGGTGACCCCTCATGGGGTTTTCAAGACAAGAGACATTGCCTCTCCATCCTGAGCCTGGTATTCCCTGAAGATCTCCCATCCACATACCGGCCAGGGCTAACCCTGCTTAGCTTCCAAGGGTGGATGACACTGGGCTAGCTGGGTCCAGAATCTGACTTACATATCTCCTTAACATATATTTTGAAAAGAGGACATCAATCAATCTCCTTTTCTTAGCAACTAAATTTCTACATCCTGTGCCTTCGACCCAACCCTTAAAAAAAGCAGAGAGGTAAATTATGCTGGGGGGGGGGTGTTCTTAGAAAAAAGAAGTTTTAAATTTGAGGAATACTAGACTCTTCCTTCACTCCATTCTTAACACTGATGCCTTCAGGAATATGTTTGTGCCATTTTTACGAAACCGTTTGTTGACGTGGCTGGTAAACGAGTCAATTATTGTTGCATGGCTTCTGACTGCTTGATGTGTGACATATTTCTTGCGCAGGCACTGAGCTAGAAATCATGCAGTATTAATATTTTGCAAACATAGTAACCCCATTATAAATGGGATACAGAATTATCAAATGTCAGCAACACTACAAACCGTAACAGTGGAACCGGTTTTGCGGAGGAAAGGATTTTCTTGCGCGTTACCGATTTAGTGCCCTGGGAATGTATTTCTGTAGTCGCTAACAAAATTAGCAATGGCACTCGGCTTTGAAATTGGGGAGGCTTGTGCTGGTGAACTTACACATTCACCTTTCCCTGAACTCAGTATGAGTCAAGCCCAAACTCCACTGAAGTTTGGGCTCAGCTTATAATGAGCTTGCTCTTGCTCTTTAACCCCCAGCACCCCAGCTGTCTTGCCCTCTTTTTCACAAAAACGTACCTGTAAGTGGCTGATGCTTTGAAGAGGCCTAATGGGAGATCTTTCTGTGATCCCCCTCTTACTCTCTTGGGAAACGCTGCAATGGCAGCCTGCAGGAGCCAGGCAATCTAGGGAATGAAATATTACAGGTGGGGGTGGAAATTGCCTTCAGGTTGCAGCTGACTTATAATCATTCAGGATAGCCTGCGTGAGACAGTCCTGGAATGACAGCAGGGGGTTGTGTATATTTGTAACATCTACACAGGCTGCCTGTTAATATTTATTTCAGCTGTTGCCATATTAAATCAACCTTGTTCTCTTCCACATCTTAACAGAAAAGCCACCCTGCTTCAGTCAAGTTTACCTCACACCAGAGACTTGGGTGGGTGTCATATTCAGAGCCAAAATCTGTCCCAGCAGTTGCCTTGAGTTCCTCAAGGGGAAAAGGCAGCCGATAAATGTTTTAAATAACTCAGTACTTAAAATAGAATTCCCTCGGGTATCCTTGGTATAGTAAGGAAGCAGGACGTGACAAAACCTGAGGTGAGGATAGAATTATACAGCCTCTGGCCCCTGCCACAGGGGGGGGGGGACACGGGCAAAGCGCGGCTTTTTAAAGCTGCACCAAAAGAGACACGCGGCGGCGGGACAAAACATTGCCGCGCACTTCCTCCCCGGCATGATCAGATGCCAGGGGGAAGCCACTGACAGGGAAGCGAGGCAGCCAAACTGCGCATGTGTGAGCATGCGCAGTTCGGCTGGGAGCCGGGATTGCTACAAACGAAGATCGCACCAGCGATCCAACGGCCACGCTTGATGCGGCGTCCCAGGTAAGTCCTCCTCTGGGGGCGGTTCTTTTTTACAGCACGTTATTGGCCTGAAGGGACGGATCGGGGATGGGTGTGAGCCGATTCCCAGATGTTGCGGTGTGCTCACGCCCGTTTGCTGCGCTTCCGATCCGTCCCTCTCCCGGGCCAAAATCTCCCGTGTGACCGGGGCCTCTGGAATGCCACACACACACACTTTCCCTGCTCTGACTTCTCTGCTTGCAAGGTGATATTCAGGCATCTCCCCTGTAGATATATCCTCTTGGGGGAAGTCAAACATCAGCTCAGAATATGAAGCCCTTCGTTTAGGGTCTATTTGATATAACTGGGGCTAAAGCCCCATTTAAGTATGTGATCGGTGGTTACAAGTGGGTTACCCGCAAGGACTTGCGGGGTGCCTTAGATATACTGATATCTGTACCAGGCGTCTCACTTCTAAGCTGATGCCAAGTTTTATTTAGGATGTTTTTTTATTTAGGACTGCATTTGATTAAAGCAGTCCTGAATGGTGAGCCTATTATTTTGGCTTAATGCATTTGTATGTAACTATTTTTATGTGTTTTGTTTATAGCGTAAGTCGCCTTGAGCGCTGTCAGGAAGAAAGGTGGATAATATATGTTTTAAATAATTTTTTAAAAAATATTTCTGTAGAGGTTCCTGTGTGGGCAAAACATAGGTGCTGCTGATTTTAAATGGGAGCGGCTTGTCCCTGCAGCCCCATTACCTTCTATGGAATCCATGCGTTGCTCTGCCTGTTCTATGGCTGTCTAGGACGGGGGTCCCCAATGGGGTGCCCTGGCTGACTGCCAGCACCTTTCCAAATGCTAGGTAGGGATTGTACCAGCAAGGCTTTTGATTGGCCATTGGAGATTTTATTGGTTTTGCAGATTTTTAGAAATGTTGCTTTGGCAGCAGCTGCCACCGGAGCACAATTAACTTCACTGCGTGACTGAAGGTAAGCTGTGGCAGCCATTTTGTGGCTGTCTCCTCCTCCTGCAGCGGCCATTTTTGTGGAAGCCCCCATGTTCTGTCAGAATTCTAATGGTGCTTGCAGGCTCAGAAAGGTTGGGGACCCCTAGTCTAGGATTACGGCCTTAATGGATACTCTATACATAAGACTAATGGCTTTCTAAAATTCTCACCAAGAAAACTGGAAATTGTTGTTGCTGACCTGGTGAACAGGTCAACAACAGCTATAGATATTCCTCATTACCTAAAATAAAGGAAGAAGCACCAGGAACTTGAGGGAGGGGGGTAATCAGAAAAAGGGGTGTGAAGCAGTTTTCTGGGTAACATCAGGAACCGATTACTTGGGACTCGTGTGTGCTCAATCCAGGAAAACATATAAATTATGTACTTTTACCTCACCATTTTACAAGATTTATTGCTCCTCTTTCAGCACAGAGGTTCCCAAGGCAAGAAATGGCAATTAAAATCACAGCACAGGCAAACAATTAACAGCCAATACTCATTAAAATTAAGGTGCCGATTGAAAAACCCTTACCTTAAAAAAAAAAAAGCTTGGATAGCCCATCTAACAGAGGAAAGGTCTTGAATCGCAAGCAGCTCTGGAGAAAGCCCTCCTCTGGAGTAAGCTCCTCATTATCTGCTGAAGGGAGGTTTGATTCTTGAACTCTCAGGCTTCAAAATTTTTGTTGTTTCTGTAAGAGTCCTGTAGGACCTTAAAGACTAACAAAATTTGTGGTAGCTTTCAGGAGTCACTGCTTACTCCTTCAGATATCTTCTTCAGGTGTCTGAAGAAGTGAGCCACTCACGAAAGCTCATACCCTACCACACACGGAGAATTTGCTGTGCAAAAGGCATGAATGTCAGGCAGATTTTCAGGGCACGATCACACCGCAACATCTGGGAAGTGTAGTGCACCCGTGGCCAACCCATGGCATCCCACTGAAGATGTGGAGTTAAAAAGTACCAAGGAAAGTGCACTAGTATCTGGAAAGTGTGCGGCACAGGTGGGTGTCTGATCGCGGGAGCGCTAGTATCCCGTAGCATCCGGCGCCTGTCCACATCCTGTTGCAAACCGGATGTTTTTCATAAGCGCATGTGCACAAACATGAAACTGAAAGTAGTGCTGATGGGTCAAACCCAGAGTCTGGAGATGTCTGGAAGGGGAAAGGAGAAAAAAGAAATTCATCAGGGGAAGAACATGGCAGAATGTGGAGAACTGTGCATACAAAATGGCAAAACCTATAGTTTAATGGCTTTTCAAAATATTGCTTGCTTGCTTAATTAAAGCTAAGCATTTATATCCTACTTCTCAACCAGAAAACCAGATCTGAGGATACTGTACAATGAACAATCAAAACATGAAAAAGCATGTGAGTATAAAAATATTATTTCCCATAAAATCTGAAGACAAAAAGAATATTTTTTTAAAAAAATGAAAACAGAATAACACCAATAAGCAATCAACAAAGTTAAATATTACGTAAGCATTAGGAATAAGGCCCGTTGTGGAAAGAAATACAATGAACTCTAGAAAGAGGCTCTGGGCAGGTCTCCTGGCCTTGAGCACTCAGCGTCAATTTGCTGTGGTGACCTTAGCAGGGTATAATGACAGAGTTTACAGTTTTCTCCAGGGGAACTTATCTCTGCCATCTGAAGAGCAGTTGTGATTCTGAGTGATCTCCAGCCCTCCCCTGGAGATTGGCAACAATGTTTCCCCAGGATGAAATGGCTGATTTGGAGGGTGATGGCTTTGTACCTATTTTAGGTCCCACCCATCCTCAAACCACACTCTCTCCAGGTTCCACCCCTCAAATCCCCAGAAATTTCCCAATCCAGATGTGGCAACCCTACTTCCTGCCCAGCCAGCCATCAACGTACCATTATCTGCCCAAGTTTCCATCTCTTTCCCCCTCCCTGTAGCAACGGAAGAGAAAAGCAGCATAGAAGCTTGCCATCTCTAGTTTGGGAAATTTGTAAAGTATGGGGGTAGAGCCTGGGGATGGAGGGGATTGGAGAGGGGAGGGACTCCAGCAGGGCATCATGTCATAGGGGCCACCCTCCTGTATAGAAATATTGATTTCTAAAAGCCTCATGCCTTCTCCTGTTCTGTCTTTTGATAACAGGCTTACAAACTAAATGGTGGGCCCCATGGCCTCAATTGCCATGCCATAAACCCACATTCTTCACACTTCCATGCTAGAAGCTAGACTGTAAGGCCCCACTAGGCCTTACACGAGTGTAGTCACATAGCCGATGGAGAAGCTAGAGGCTAGGTCACCTGACTGCAGGCGTGGTCCCCAAACTTCTAGCCTATCCCCACATGTAGCCATAACAACCAAATCTTGGGCACTCCCATTCCCACTCGCAATTGGCTCCTGGCCAGGGCTAATTTGTGACTGGAATTGGCCTATAACTGGTCATTCCCTATGGGAGAGACTCTCTCTCTGTTCTGTTTCTGCTCTGTGCTTGTTTATTGCACCTGGAAATGCTGTCCTTTGAAGAGACAAAGGACTGGCTTTGTGAATTGGACCACATGGTTGAGCAAAGATGGATTTTGCCTTCAAAATCCCTTGGACTGTTTGGATATTCCTCAACTTGGTAAATATGTATCTTTTACTGTGTAGTTAAGGCAAATCGCCTTAGGCTTATTGTTTTGCAATCTTTTATAGTCTAATTGCAATGTTCTGTACTGAATAAAACTTATTCTTGTTTCTAAATGGTCTCTGATGTTGTACCTAAGTTCCAAGCCTAAAATCCTGTAGCCTACACGCTGACCACATACGCTACTATTGGAGATTATAATATTGTGCATCTCTGGGAAGAATTGCTAATGTGTTAAGTCCCAGATGCCAGCTGAGAGATTTGAATCTCTGCTCTGAGCTGGAGGGGATTATAGACTAATGTAGAGTTTCTGGTGGCATATTGTCCTGAATCCAGAGAGGGTAGCCTACCTCTGTGGGTTGTTGTTTAATGTACTGCAAAAGTACAGGATTACCTCTCACCCCTGGACAAGCGTGGGTGGGCTATCCTATACACCTCCAAAGCAGCCATTTTCTCCAGGGAAACCGATCTTTGTTGTCTGGAGGTCAGTTGTAATTTGCTTGACCTCTAGGTCCCACCTGAAGGTTAGCAACCCTATCAACAAGGCATTGAGTTAAGACCTCCTGGACTAAAGGACTGGCTAGCACTTTGAATTTATCCTGAAGGGACTGGTGGTGGAAAGTGAAGGGGTTTCAAGGCAAGAGAGGTTCAGAGGTGGCTTGCCATGGCCTGCCTCTGTGTGGTGACCCTGGATTTCCTTGGTGGTCTCCCTTCCAAGGACTAACCAGGGCTGACCCTCCTTAGCTTCCATAATCTAATGATGTCGGGACACCCTGGGCCGCCCAGGTCAGGGCAGTGAACTTACACTGGCATGAGACATACAACTGAAAAACATTGGTACCTTTTGAGTGACTTCTCTAGATGTAGGTCCAAACCTTTGTAGTGGTTAGGAGAATGGGCTCTAATCTGGGAGAACCAGGTTTGATTCCCCACTCCTCCACATGCAGCTGCCGGTGTGACCTGGGGTCAGTCATAAGTTCTTTCAGAGCTGTTCTCTCAAGGGCAGTTCTGTCAAGAGCTCTCTCAGCCCCACCTACCTCACAGCATGTCTGTTGTGGGGAGGGGAGGGGAAGGGAAAGGATATTGTAAGCCGCTCTGAGACTCTGAGTGAAGGGCGGGATAAATGGTGGGCCCCATGGCCTCAATTGCCATGCCAATTGCTCCTCCTCTTCTTCCTCTTCTGCTAAAAATCTTAAAGATATGTTGGTCAGTACACTTAAAGAACATACCTCAGATGATACCCTGACTGGGGTTGGGCACAGTCCAAAAGGTTATTTTCCATGCGGCAATTGTTCTGTTTGTGTCCTTTGCCTTAAAACCAGTGTATCACAAAATTCTTCAATGACCGAAAGTTACTATATTAGATCTTTTGTTAATTGTAAGTCTGGAAGGGTCACTTATTGTATACAGTCCCCATGCAATTTGTTGTATGTAGGAATGACAACACAGCTGGTTAAAGTGAGAAGATCTGAACACAGAAGCTACACCAGACAGCAAAGATTGTGAGCTCCACTTGTGAAGCACTACATGTCCTTGGAACATACAGACAAGGACCTTCTGGGTCATAGAAAAGCTGCAAGTGTACTCTTCACAACAAATTCGGTTTTTGAAGAAAAGGGAGTCTTTCTGGATCTTCATGTTGGATGCTCTGGTGCCAAGAGGTTTGAATGAAGAAATTGATTGGCTGTCTGTCTGACGGACTTGGCTGCTTTTTGGACTGAGGTGTGTAAATAGGTTGATGCAATTTTCTTTTCACAGGTGCTGCTGAGTACCTCTGCATCGTTTTTTCCTCTCTCTGTCTTCTGTTGCATCAGATTTTCCCCACCCCCACATTTCCCATATATTCAAGGGGTGGACTACCATGGTGCTGATTCTTTTCTAGTTGTACCTGAGCACGCTATTGGAGCTTTGAGCATTGCAGATCAGACCTAAGAAGGTCAATATTGTACCATTTAGGGTGTTTTTTTTAGTTGGCTACATACCTTTTTTTCTAAAACAATTAGGAGACTTTTTAGTGTGCAGGTGTTTAGTCACATGTTTTATGTTTATTTTGGATCCAGGGGCAAATGAAACATTTTACATCTTGATGAGCTGCCCATGTTGCATCTCAAGAATATTTGACACCACTTACTCCAAGAGTCAACATCTCGGTGTAAGGTAGCCATGTTAGTTCTATATATTTCAAAATATTTAAATTATTTTGATTCTTAACAGACATATAGATAATTATTTCTCTCCTCCCCCCTCCCTCATTTCAGGTCCATTCTGTATATGATCAGTTTTATGCATGTCTCTGTTAAATTAATGGAGTGCTCAGTTTGAATTATACCACTGAGGAAGGCTTAGTGCCGAAACGCATTTGGTATTTGGTATTGGTTCTTGCATATGGGTACAATATGTACCTTTAAACTTGTATTTATATGCATGGGCATTTGTCTTTATATTGGGATAAGGTACTTATATGGTGAACCAAAGGACTGTTGCTTTAAAGTGATATTTTAGCACTTTTCATTGTATTATTAAATTATACATAACATTTTGTTCATGTGCACTACATGTATAGTTATATTGCTTTCTTTTCTGTTGTTTCAACCTTTTTGGTTACCTTACGGTGAACTTACTAGGCCATCAATAAAGCTGTTTTAACACAGGCGAGCTCTACAACTGGCACCAGTTAGGTTAGCAATCTAGCAGCTGCTTTCTGCAGTTTCCACAAAGGGTTGTCCACCTCCAGCCTGGGTCGGGAGAACTGGAATCACAACAGGTCTCCCTACTACAGACATCAGTCCCCCCCCCCCGAGAAAATGGCTGCTTTGGGGAGTGGACTGTATGGCATTACCCCCTGCTGAGGCCCCTCCCCTCCTCTCCCCATGCTACACCTCCAAATCTCCAGGAATCTCCAAACCCAGAGTTGGCAACCCCACTTCCCTGATAAAATCACAACGTTACCTTGATCATGTTCTAACAGAGGCTGTTGATTCTTTGGCACTCAAGGTGAGAGGCCCGGATTTGACATTTCAGCCACAGCACAAGAGCAAGTGTGACCCACAAGGCCCAATGGGCTGAAGGGGTTATTCGGACCCTTGTGGGCTCAGTGTTAGAGCTCTAATCTTTCCCACTTTCCGTGAGGTCAGAGCCAGCAGACCCTCAAACTAAGTCCCTTTCTTTCCACACATTTCCCAGGACTCCCCTCCCTGGCACTGACAGATGAGACGTGAATACCGGCAGGTAGGTTTCTGCTCTCTCCCCCCACCTTCTCCTCTTCGTGACGGGAGACTGATAGACAGAAGCTGCCACCTTGGATCTCATCAGGCTTCTGGATGACCTACAAAAACTTATTTTTTTTAAAAAAAAATGGAAATTAAGTTAGAGATTTTTGGCTTTAATTGCCATATGGCATTTTGATAATTTATTAGGGGAAGGAACATGCGGCAATCTGCTGGTATCTCCTTTCTGGATTGAAATCAAAAAGACTTCACCTTCCTGGTCTCTTAGAAAAACATTCACAGGGTCAGGAAAATCTACTTTCTTAGAAGTAGAAAAAGAAGACGAAGTAATGCAAGCTCAACGTGCCTTCCCAGCTCTTTTTGAGTTTACTTAAAACATTTTAATGCCACCTTCCCACCCAATCGGGGTCCAAGACATAAAATGGCAAACATAAAAAATGTTAAAACAATTGAACAATTAAAAATACAGTTAGAATTACTAAATACTTAATTTAAAAGCAGATAAACAACACTAGAAGGAGGGCCAGTAACATAAGAAGAAGAAGAGATTGGATTTATACCCTGCCCTTCACTACTCAAAGGTGTCTCAGAGCGGCTTACAAACTCCTTTCCCTTCCCTCCCCCTCCCTACAACAGGCACCCTGTGAGGTAGGTGGGGCTGAGAGAGCTCTTGACAGCTCTTTTTTCAAGAACAGCTCTTATCAGAACTATGGCTTGCCCAAGGTCATCCAGCCAGGTGCAAATGGAGGAGTGGGGAATCAAACCTGGTTCTCCCAGATTAGAGTCCAGGCACTTAACCACTACACCAAACTGGCTCTCAGAAGAGCCCTGCTGGATCAGACCAGGGAGGGTCCATCTAGTCCTGTCTCACACACTGGACATCCAGTTCCTTTGGAAGGCCAACAACAGGGCATAGAGGCCAGGGGCTTCATTAGAACATCAGAAGAGGCCTGCTGGATCAGACCAGGGAGGGTCCATCTAGTCCAGCCTCCCGTCTCCCACACTGGACATCCAGTCCCTCTGGACTGCCAACAACTGGGCACAGAGGCTGATGTTGCCTCCTGGTTCTGGGAATCAGAGGTTGATGGCCTTTACTCGCCATGGCTAGTAGTCAGTGCTACTGATGGACTTATCCCCCATGAATCTATCTAATCCCTTTTTCAAGCTGTGAATTCCACATTTTCATCACTCTGGCGATTAACGGTTTTGGGGATATCCCCGACAGAACAAAAAAAGTCTTCACCTGCTGGCAAAAGACACCGATAGAGGCAGGCAGGCAGGCAAATTTCCCTGGGGATAGAGTTCCAAAGTTGTGGTGCCACGACTGAGGTGGCTGTTTCTCAGGTGGCCACCGATCTAGCTTCAGATGGCGGGGGCAACCGGAGCAGGGCCTCCGAAGGTGACTGGAGTATGCAGGTACATTCCTACGGGAGGAGGCAGTGTGTAAGGGATGTTAGTCCCAGCCGGGTAAGGCTTTAAAGGTCAATCCCGGCACCTTGGATCGAGCCTGGAAGCAATGGAACAAGACTGGTCACTGGAGTGATATGGTCCCTATGACCTGGACAGAGCTCTTCTTCAGGACGGATGCTTGAATTAAAAAGAACAGGAAATATTTCTGTATTTAATATTTAATATTTAAATAAATTTCTTGTATTTACTACACTGATATCTTACTCTTCCTTAGAGGTCAGGCCAGTTTGGTGCAGTGGTTAGGAGCACAGACTCTAATCTGGGAGAACGGGGTTTGATTCCCCACTCCTGCTGCTGGCGTGACCTTGGGCCAGTCACATGTTTTCTCAGAAGCTATTCTGGAAAGAGCAGTTCTCGAAAGAGCTCTCTCAACCCCACCTACCTCACAAGGTGTCTGCTGTGGAGAGGGGAAGGGAAAGAAGACTGTAAGCTGCTCTGAGACTCCTTTGGGTAGTGAAGAGTGGGGTATAAATCCAGTCTCCTCCTCCTCCTCCTCCTCCTCTTCCTCCTTCTTTACATGGGTCTGCCATTCAGCTTTCCATCAAAGCACAGAAGAGATTGAGGCACTAAGAATATCTACACAGCTGGTTGCCCATTGGCCTCATCCTAGAATCATAGAGTTGGAAGGGACCACCAGGGTCATCTAGTTCAACCCCCTGCACAATGCAGGGGATTCACAAATACCTCCCCCCCCCACACCCAATGACCCGTGTTCCATGCCCAGAAGACGACAAAAAACCTTCAAGATTCCCAGTGTCCTATGTTCTCAGTCTTGTGCTTGTACTCTGTAAGTCAGGAAAGCAAAGAGGTGCCACTTTTCAAAAGGAATATGCCCCTGCCAGGAAAGGATGAGACACCACATAATGGCATCAGGTCACGTGAAATTAATTTGTAGTAGTTAGGCCGGGGAGCTGGGAACTCAGCATGAGGAAGTGGACTGCACATGGAGAAGGTGATGTGAACTGTGTCTCAGAATTCATTTCTGTTCATTGAACTTCTGGATTTCACTAGGGGGTGGGGAGACCATGAGATATTCCAGCTTTCTAATCATCCCAGGGGAATAATTGAAAAGCATAGTAGTTATGTGCTAGATCATTTTATGCTTTGGTTCATGTCCTACTCACTGGTTGTGATTGGATTTATTTGGTTGTGTCCAAATAAATTCAGTTGTGGCCAGGGCTCTAGTCGGGGGGGAGCTCTCAGGTACGGAGCTCCGGAAGAGAACCTCTAGGGGGCGGGGCGGTCACGTGGTGAAGCCCCGCCCCCTTCTTTACCCCGCCCTCTGCTTCGATCCTCATTCCTTTTGGGAATGAGGATGAAGCAGGAGGGTAAGTAGCCAGGCCTTCTGACACACTTCCGGTGATGTCAGGGGGTGTGGCCTTCTGTCACTTCCAGTGATGTCAGGGGGCGTGGCATATGCAAATAAGTTATGCTAATGAGTTATGCTAATGAACTCCGGCAGCTCTTTTTCTACAACAAGACCCCTGGTTGTGGCTATTTTTATGATAAGATTGCTTTCTTGCAGGACTAGATGGCTTTCTCACAACAGATTTCCATCCACCTGCCATAGCTACCTCCAGTCATCCAAAGACACATCATCAAATGGGGAAAAGAAATCAGCATCAGAGTTCTGAGGTGAGGCTTACTTCTCAGATGTCTCTGTGTGCCTTTGGTGTCTACCTGCCCATGAGCCTAGCAAATCTTGCAATCATGTCTTACAGTCATTTCATCAACAGGTGCTATTGATTGTGCCGAATCAAAAAGCAGGAAATGTACTATTGCTAATGCTGGTCATCGAAAAATTAAGGTTGCCAGTCTCCAGGCGATGGCTGGAGATTTTCCAAAATTACAATGGATCTCAAGACTACAGAGGTCAGTTCCCCTGGAGAAAATGGCTGCTTTGGAAGGTGGATTTGATGGCATTATACCCCAGTGGGGTCTTTGCCCTCTGCAAACCCCGCCCTCCCTGGGCTCCACCCCAAAAATCTCCAGGAATTCCTCAACCCAGACCTGGGGGGCCTATTAAGAATGTGTCCACCCATGCAGGTGCAAGAGGGTATGTCTTGCAGGCAATTCCATTCTTAAGAACCTAAGAGATGCCAATGTTGGATCAGGCCAATGGCCCATCTAGTCCAAAACTCTGTCACACAGTGGCCAAAAATACCAGGTGCCATCAGGTGGTCCACCATTGATCCAGGACACTAGAAGCCCTCCCACTGTTGCCCCCCCCCACAAGCACCCACCAAGAACACAGTGCATCACTTGCCCCAGCCTGAGAGTTCCTATCTATACCTTCTGGCTATTAGCCACTGATGGACCTCTGTTCCATATGCTTATCTAATTTCCTCTTGAAGCCGTCCATGCTTTTAGCTGCCACCACCTCCTGTGGCTGAATTCCATGTGTTAATCATTCTTTGGGTTGAAGAAGTACTTCCTTTTATCTTTTCTAACCCGACCGCTCAGCAATTTCATTGAGTGCCCATAAGTTCTTGTATTGTGAGAAAGGGAGAAAAATACTTCTTTCTCTACCTGCTCTATCCCATGCGTAATCTTATAAACCTCGATCATGTCACCCCTCAGCCGTCGTTTCCCCAACCTAAAGAGCCCCAAGTGCTTTAACCTTTTCTTCATTCTTGATAAGTGCATCGCTTTAATGACCTGACCGTAACCCCGAGAGATACCTGCCTGTTCCCTCAGAAGCTTTAGTCAAGGTGCTGGTTTATTTTGTTCCTTTTTGTCAATGCACAACTTGACACAGTAACACACGCAGACCCTGTGCAGGTGGGAAGTTGTGCATCTTAAGATTAACTTCATCGGATCTGCTCAGACACTGGAGAAGGAAGGCGGTAATGGTGTAGCCCGATCTCATAGAATCCCAGAAGCTAAGTAGGATCAGTACTTGGAAGGGAGCCCACAAGGGAAGATTCTGCCGTGGAAGGCAGTGGCAAACTGCCCCTGCTTAGAAAAAAAATATATATTCAGGAAAAAGACAATGGGATAGAAAGCTCTACAAGTTCATCGTCAGTTCTATAAACAAATCATAAAGATGTTATTAGGTTCAATTCGTCCTCCTAGTCAGAACATCATTCTATTTATCAACCGGGTTGGATTGCCCAATCCTTCAGATGAAGCCTTCTGGCGTGACCTCCTCCTCCTCTTCCTCCCTTATCTAACGTTTTTATCATGCAGTATACAGTTTGGTTTACTCAACTCTACACAGTCCTCTAACCTCTCCTCTGTATTTGGTTGCCAACTCACACTTGGGAAATATCTGGAGACTTGGGGGGGAGGAGGTAGAGTCTGGGGAGGGTGGGGTTTGGAGAGAGGAGAGGCCTCGTAGCATCCACCCTCCAGGGCAGCCATTTTCTCCAGGAGATCTGGTGTCTGCAGCCTGGGGATCAGTTGTAATCTCCAGGGCCAGACTGGAGGCTGGTGATCCTAATTTGGAATCCCTTTCCCCAAACTAATTTGAAACAAATCTGTCAGTATCTTTAGGAAGAAAATCTACATAATTCAACAGGAAACATTTTTTGGGGTGCGGGGGAGGTAACTCTTCACCTCTGCTTCTCACTTGTCCTGAAAGTCCCTTGCTGGGGTAGCCAGAAATCAATTGCTGTGTGACGCCAGGCACCTCGGCACAATCAGAAGCTCACCTTATGTATAACTGAGAAAGTCAGAGCAAGATAAATCCATCTGGCAACCGTGCTGGTGTCAAAGTTCTCATCATACCTAATGAGGAAGGGTTTTTAAAACAAACTGTGTCCTTGATTGATAACTGGTGGAAATAATATCCTGTAACGTCCTTTGCTGTTCCTCAGTGATAGTCCAAATCCTTTTTGTTGTTGTTGTTCAGTCGCACAGTCGAGTCCAACTCTTCGTGACCCCATGGACCATCTCTCACCAGGCCTTCCGGTCTTCCGCCGTCCTCTGAAGTTGGCTCAATTTCATGTTCATTGCATCTATGACACTGTCTAACCATCTCATCCTTTGCCATCCCCGTCTTCTTTGACATTCAGTCTTTCCCAGCATCAGGGTCTTCTCCAGTGAGTGCTCCCTTCTCATTTGGTGGCCAAAGTATTTGAGCTTCAGTTTCATTATCTGGCCTTCCAGGGAACAGTCAGGGTTGATTTCTTTTAGGATTGACTGATTTGATCTTCTTGCAGTCCAAGGGACTCTCAAGAGTCTTCTCCAGCACCATAGTTCAAATGAATCTATTCTTCGGCGCTCGGCCTTCCTTATAGTCCAACTCTCGCAGCCATAAATGACTACTGAGAATACCATTGCTTTGACCATGCGAACTTTTGTTGGCAGGGTGATGTCTCTTCTTTTTATCATGCTGTTTAGGTTCGTCATCGCTTTTCTCCCAAGGAGCAGGCGTCTTTTAATTTCATGGCTGCTGTCGCTGTCTGCAGTGATCTGGGATCGCAATGTCTATTCACCCCAAATAGCGTCTGTAGCCTCATGCACCCGGAAGCAATCTGGAATTGCAATTGTCTTCCACTTTTCTTTCATGGGCTTGATGTCTGTGCAGGTTTTTGGAAAGGATATCCATGTTTCCTTTTAAAGACATTACATTCGGTAAATTGTGTACATTTTTTTGTTTATTTCTGCAGGTGTATGAGACTGGCAAGGGTAATTTATCCGGCTACGGCATCGTCTCCCGACTCCCATGGAGGAAAACAACAAAAAAAGCACAGTTTCTGACATTTGGTTTGAAAATAGAATATAATCTACAGATGTCATTGAAGCAATTTTCAAAGACAGATCTTATGCTAAATAATATTCCGAAGACCATTAAGACAGCAGTCTTAATTAGCTTGTCCGGCCACAGTGAGGATTTCAGAAAGGGCTCCTAAGTGTTTCTACGGCTCTATCACAAGCAATTTACTTCGAGAGGAATGAATCAGATGTCAGCATCTCCCCCCCCCCCAGAGCCATCTTGCAGTTCCTGTGCATTTGTTCATCACACGTATTTAATGGCCATATGGGTACTGTCAATTGCTTCTGTAATGCTAGGAAATCAAGCAATCCAAACAGATCATTTCCACTGGACGCAGGTGCTGCCTCTTTAAAGGGAAAGATGTACTGGGATGTTTCCTTAATTAAAGCCTCAAATCCTTCATTTAGAAAGAGCAAAACACAAATTTCTGAGGGTTAGCATCCGGGAGGTGAGCGGCCTGGATGTTCCACGCTGCTGTTATTTGTATGCTGCTGTGCTCTGTGCAACTTTGGAAATCCAAGTAGATTGGCACGGTGGTCAGGAGCGCCTTCTGTCAGCTGCATCTGATTCACCAACTTTCTCATACCTAGACTCAGCCTATCTGGTCACGCTGATCCATGCTTCTGTACCCGCAAGGCTGGACTACTGCAATGCAATCTACATGGGCCTGCCATTGAAGACAACCCGACAACTATAACTGATCCAAGATGCAGCAGCCCAACTATTGTCAGGAACAGATTATACCTGTTTGAAATAGCTATAATGGCCACCAGTCTGTCTCCAAGGTCACTTCAATGTGCTGATTACCTGTACAGACCCCCACAATCTGGGACCCACATATTTGGAGGACCGTCTCCTTCCATATGCCAGTTACAGTCATCACGCAGCCATCTGTTGGCTATGCCACCACTTAGGGTGGCCCGTCTGACATCGACTACCCGAAGGAGTTTCAAAGTGGCTTAAGATCGCCTTCCCTTCCTCTCCCCACAATGGACACCCTGTGAGGTAGGTGGGGCTGAGAGAGCTCTCAGAGAACGGTGCCTGGGCCAAGGCCAACCAGCAGGCTTTAGGTGGAGAAGAACTGAGGAATCAAACCTGGTTCTCCAAATTAAAGTCCACTGCTCTTAACCACGACGCCAAGCCCAGAGAGCCTCCTTCTCTCCACAGAGCAACCTCTTCATGTAAGCCCTTTCTTCTTTTTCTCCTTAATCTTCTTCCCTTCCCCCTTGTTGAGTCTGCCGTGGTTCGCACATTACGAGCCACTCTGGCAGATTGCAATGACCTTAGTGGAAATAAGCTTAAATTGGATAAACACTGCTGCAGCATACAGCCTGCTCAAAAAGTATGTCCACTTTCTGCAAAATGAAGTGTGTCCGATTACACCGATGTGCGTCCTTATTAGTGTTGCGACTTTGCTACCGAAAATAAGCAGCAGATGGGCAATGTGTCAGCCATTCCGATTTACTGCAAATAGTCTTGCAAAGTTGTTAACCCTTCTATACGTAATTGTATACAGTGTATGCATTATGTAACTCCATACATGCTACAATGGACGAGGCAGACCGGTCAAGTATCCATCTATTTACGATCCATTCATTCATTTCCTCCCTCTTCCAAAATGCTTGAACTCAAGAGTACCAGGTGAAGTTGATGGGAAATAGATACAAGACAGACAAGAGGAAGTACTTCTTTACTCAACGAGTGATTCAAAGGTGGGATTCACTGCCAGAGAACATAGTGATGGCCACAAGTATAGAAAGCTTTAGAATCATAGAATCACACAGTTGGAAGGTCCCTCCAGTGTCATTTAGTTCAACCCCCTGCACAATGCAGGAAATTCATAAATACCTCCCCCTCCACACCCCCAGTGACTGCTGTTTCACACCCAGAAGATGACTACAAACCTTCAGGATCTCCAGCCAAACTGGCCTGGAGAAAATTGCTTCCTGACCCCAAAGTGGTGATCAGCATTTCCCTGGACGTGTAAGAAAGGACCACAAGAACTGAGGCAACCCTACCCGCCCTCTATTCTTGTGCTCTGCCTAAGTTCACAGAATCCGCATTGCTGTCAGATGGCCATCAAGCCTCTGTTTGAAAACCTCCAAAGAAGGAGAGCCCACCACTTCCTGAAGAAGACTGTTCCACTGAGGAACCACTCTGTCAGGAAGTTCTTCCGAATGTTTAGCCGAAAACTCTTCTGATTTAATTTTTACCCGATCTTCTGGAGCAACAGGAAATAACTCCATACCATCTTCTATATGACGGTCCTTCAAGTATTTGAAGATGGTTATCGTATCACCTCTCAGCCGTCTCCTCTCTAGGCTACACATGCCCAGCTCCTTCAACCTTTCCTCATAGGACTTGGTCTCCAGACCACTCACTATCTTCATTGCCCTCCTCTGGACACGTTCCAGTTTGTCTATATCCTTCCTAAATTGTGGTGCCCAAAACTGAACACAATACTCTAGGTGAGGTCTAACCAGAACAGAGTAAAGTGGTACCATCACTTCACATGATCACACTATACTTCTGTTGATACAGCCCAAAATTGCATTTGCCTTTTTAGCTACTGCATCACACTGCTGACTCATGTTCAGTGTATGGTCTACTAAAACCCCTAGAACCTTTTCGCACATACTACTGCCAAGACAAGTCTCCCCATCCTATAATTATGCATTTTTCCTACCTTTACATTTGTTTTAGCCCAGTTTTCCAGCCTGTCAAGATCATCCTGTATCCTGACTCTGTCTTCTACTGTATTTGCTACGCCTCCCAATTTAGTATCATCTGCAAATTTAGTAAAGGTTTCCCTTGCTCGAAAGCCAGTCGAATCAGACTCTAGGGATGCGGTGCGTTTCCAAGCCGAAGAGCCAGCACTGTCCAAAGACATTTCCATGGTCATGTGGCTGGCATGACTAAATGCCGAGGTGCACGGAATGCTGTTACCTTCCCACTGAAGTGGTACCTATTTATCTACTTGCAATTTCTTGCTTTTGAACTGCTAGGTTGGCAGGAGCTGGGGCCAGAGACGGGAGCTCACTCCGTCACGCGGCACTCGGGTCTCGAACTGCCAAGCTATATGTGGTCACTTCTCTGTCCCTTTCAAGAGCTTCTGGAGGGAATGACAGGAGGTGAGGGGCAAGTCGGCAGCAAGGAGAGGAGTATAAGTGAGCAGTGGAACAGTCTGCCTCGGGAGGTGGTGGATGCTCCTTCGCTGGACATTTTCAAGTGGAGGCTGGATGACCATCTTCCGGGTATGTTGTAGCTATGTAGGGCTGTCTTTCTGCTGTGCTCCTGCAGAGGGCAGGGGGTTAGGCTAGATGACCTGCAAGGTCCCTTCCGACTCGAACATTCTATGGTTCTATATGAGCAGAAGAAGACAAGGAGAAAAAGATGGTTAGAGAGAGAATAGGAAGAAGGTGATTAGAATGATCCTCCCACATCGCCTTCTCCCAGAAATTCCTGCCTGGAAATTAAGATCACAGGGAGAGGCCATTCTGTCTCACAATTCAAAGAAGCTCATCTGGTGGGCAGACTAGAGACGGCCTTTTTGCTGGCAGCCCCGTGATTATGAAACAAGCTCCCCGGAGAGGTGCACCTGGCGACCTCACTCTCAGCCTCCAGGAGGCAAGTGAAGACAGTGTTGTTTCGGGCGGCACTTGACTGATTTCGTTTTTTTAATTTATTGGCAGTCCTAATTGGAGTTTTAAAACAATGACCTTTTATGTGTGTTTTTTAAAAAATAATTGTCGTTTTATTTATATCGCTTTGGGTTTTTTTTAATAATCATTTTGGTTTGATGGTAAGCCCCCCCCCCCCCGGAGTTCTGCAAGGGAGAAAGGTGGCTAATAAATAAGTGATTAAAGGAGAATTAGAAGAAGGCAAATGGGAGTGGAGGTGAGGATGAGCCGAGTGGACTCTTGTGTGTTGCAGCCAGCTGCCATGTTTTGCTGGTTCCCGTCTCTGATCCTGGCTTGCTCGCTGCTCTGCCACTTGCAGTAAACATTGCTAGGGAGACTGTGAGAGTCGGTACTGCCAGACGGTGTTATCTGTCTTGCCTTGTGAAGGAGGGAGGGCTTGCGTTCCACCCCTGGTGTGAATCTTTCGGCTCTCATGAGGCACTGCGACTCTCCCGCTTATCAAGTATCCTCCCGCCGGGAGAATTCCCCCGCGTGTGCTCGAATTTCATTTGCTTAGCCATTTGCCTCATCCTGCTATATGTAATCATCATCATCATCATCATCATCATCATCATCATCATCATCATCATCTTTCAATTTATTAATCACTCAATCCTGCTGGTGCTGGCTCTAAGCGATTTACAGTTACACATTCACAAGGGGCTAACAATGATTCATAGGGGTAAGGGAGGACATTGCACACATTCGCAGCCGACTGGGATTTTTTGCTCAGTTGTAGACTCAGACATGTTCCAGATGGCATTTTCCACTCGGCATGTAAGGGTGTTTCCGCCCCATGGTCATTCCTAACAATAATCCTGTGGATAGGGTACCAGTTTTGTAATCTAATAAAGCATAACGCTTCCTTGGAAACGTGTGTAGAGATTTACTTGCTGCTGAACTTGACACTACCCTGAGATTAGCAACCCTAGCTTTGGATCTGCTCGGAAGAAGAAGGAGGAGGAGGAGGAGGAGCAGGAGGAGGAGGAGGAGGAGGAGGAGCAGGAGATTGGATTTATACCCCACCCTTCACTCAGAGTCTCAGAGCAGCTTACAAACTTCCCCTCCCCACAACAGACACCCTGTGAGTTAGGTGGGGCTGAGAGAACTCTGAAAGAAACAGCTTTTTTTCAAGGACAGCTCTGACAGAACTACGGCTTGCCCAAGGTCATCCAGCAGCTGGAAGTGGAGGAGTGGGGAATCAAACCCAGTTCTCCCACATTAGAGTCCGCGCACTTAACCACTACACCAAACTGGAGCAAAAGAGTCTCCCTTCTTTGGCATTTCAATTCCTTTCAGGTCCTCGCTTGTAAGCATTATGATGCAAGTCTTGTTTCCTCACGGATGATAACTTTTTCCAAGAAAAATAAATCACTTTCTGTTTTCAGGGTGCTAATTAGTGTTCCTACTGGTGTTGGTATAAAGTCATGAAAGGTTACGACAGCAATTTTCTTCAGTAACTACTTCCTATAGAGTGCCTAGTGTTATGATCTAAATGGCCTGTTTATACTGAGAACCAATATTTATATGATTTTGCACGTTCCTCAGTGAAAAGCTCAGCTTCAATTAAAAAAGAAAACAGGGGTTTTGCCGTTCTCAAGATTTCCGAGTGAAAACAAAGAAGAATGAGAGTGGGTCACCTTCATGCATCCAGGTCAATCCCAATCTGTCACAGGGACATTACAGTGATGAGAATAATTAACACGTGGAATTCACTGCTGCAGGAAGCCCAGACAGCTTCAAGAAGGAATTGGTTAAACATATGGAGCAGAGGTCCATCAGTGGGATGGAACACTATGTCTGAGGTAGTGATGCTCTGTATTCTTGGTCCTTGGGGGGCAAGAGTGGGAGGACTTCTGGATTCTGGCCCTGCTGGTAGACCTCCGGAGGGCACCTGGGTTTTGGCCACTGTACAAAACAGAGTGTTGGACTGGATGGACCACTGGCCTGATTCAACACGACTTCTCTTATGTTCTCTTAAACTCAGGACTATTCTCCCCATATCTGTGAAATCAGACTATAAGTTCTAATAAGAATTTGTGACAGTTCATGATTTCTTTCCTGGGCCGTGTCTCCACGGGTCACCAAACATTACAAGAAAGGCAGTCTACCAAACAGCCACGTGTCTTTTTCAGCTTTTCCTGACAAGTAACTACATCACATAAAACCTGACCTGATGTCACACCATGGTGTCCCTTCCTGATGCTGCTGCCCACAGATGAAGAGATGGCAGGAAATGCATCGTGCAATGATGTCA